TCTGTCCAAAGGCAGAGCAACGTCTGTAAGAGTGGTGGGACATGGCTTCCTACAGCTCTGACACTCAGAAAAGTAATTTTGAAACGGGCTGGTTGGTAGGGAATGAGGTGATGGATGAAAAAAGCAAGAAGTGAGGGGGAGGAATTATGAGTTGTAAGAATCAGGGCAGCTATTGTGGAGTCCTTGAGGGAGGAAATTCTGGAAATAATGGGTCACCGTGCTCTCAGAATGTGTAAGGACAAGCTTACCTTCCATTTTTCTGTAGTTTTCCTGTGGGAAGCCACCTATTGTCTTCTCTAGCATAGAGGTGTGGACAAGGAGCCCGGAATGCTGGTGAGCCTTGAAGCCTTGGCAAAGGTCAGGGCTATGCACCCACTGTTTAGTTGAGACAATGGTGGCTGAAGCAACTTCTCCACCAGTTAGTCATGGAAATCCTTACTGATAAGATAGTCTGTCTGTTACTGGGACTTGCCTGCCTAAGGGTTATAGGTGAATTCCAAACTAAATAAAAGGATGGCAAGACCTGAACACAAGTGAAGTCCATCCTCTTGGGATGGGCTTTCACTTGGCCCCCCGATTTCCAAATTATTGTCTTGTCTCTTTCATTTGTGTGTGGCCCCTCTTCCAGATCCGGAACCCTGAACCACGCCGGATGTGGGGGAACATTATACATTTTCCATTTTTAAAAGGTGTATGGTTGGTGTCCCCCACTAAAGCTAAGCCTGTGGAGATGGGGACTTGGTCTTACCTTGATACCCCAGCACTGGAATCGAAAAAATGTGTAGAAAGTGTAGACCCCAAACCTAGAAACTAGCTGGCCAACTGTCTGTGTCGGCACGGGTGGGGCTCTAAGAAGCTTTAAGGAAACAGAGAGTGCGGGGGTGGGTAGGAGGGCTTGGGGAAAACAGAAACCAAGAAGCACATGACTGAAACTTGTAAGGCCTTGAGGGTAGGAAAGGGGAAAGAAAGGAGAGAAGGAGGAGGAGAAGCAGGTGTGAGTCAGGAATGGACAGGGAGGGGATGAGAAATTTCCATGAAACTGTGAACAAGGCCAACGTGAAAAGAGCTAGTGGGGAATTTTCAAGAAAATAACATGCTGGGCAATGGCCACCCCAGCTCAGTCTCCCCTGAAACCTTAAGTAAATTGGCGTCGCTTACTCTTACGCAGGGGACCAAGCTCTTCCCTGTGGCGTGGGCACAAAGACTCTTTGTGAGGTTGCCAGGAGGGAGGCGTGGGCATAAACAGAAGATTCTTTGTGAGGTTTGCCAGGAGGGAGGCATGGGTGCTGCTTGCACACTGCAGGAAGAAATGTGGAGCTTCTGCTTTTCCAAGATGGCTGCTTCCCCACTGGTGGCTGTTCCCAGTGGAGGACCAGGGATGCTCAGCTGTGGTTGCACACTCACTGCCCCAGGTTTCCCCTTTATATCCCTCCTCTGGGATGTTGGAGGTGCTTCCCGATGGAGAACAGGGAACTGGGAAAGGAAAGCTAGCGGCTGCTTATGGTAACGTTGGTTCTAAACGAAGTCTAATTAAAAAAACACCAAAAAACAAAACAGACTTCCATGGGCTCACATAATGAAAGGAGTTTTTAGGGGTAATGAAGCATGGTAGCAACCATGCTTGGGTAAAAATGGCTGTTTAGTATTTTAACCCTGCTGATTTGGCTTCTGTAATTATTTGCTTGCTAAAATAATAGAAAAGTTATTTTGATTTTCTGGAGTTATATAAGTTATCCCATTTGATTGAATACTCCATTGATTGTGGTTTTGTTGCAGAAGACCAAAGAAATACCAAGCACGCTTCCTAGAGAATGGGAGGGAGCCCGTTTATTAACACTAGTGGACTCCAGGAATAATTTCCAAATCAGAGTGAGTAACATGCAGAGTGCTTCACTTTTTATAACCTTCTGGGGTCTTTGTCTTGCAGATATGGTTCCACCCCATTTTGTGGGCTTATAGGAAAGCCCCCAGGTGTTGGGGGTCCCCAGGCCATATCTGATGATCTGTCCTGGGGCCAGCGATAACGACCTAACCCCCTCCCCCCGCACCCCTCACCCTGGGCAGTGCATTGTTC